ATATATATATATATATATATATATATATATATATATATATATATATATATATATATATATATATACTGTATAACTGCTTTCAAAATAATAGCCGAAAAAATGTAGAATATATATTTTGTGTATATATATACATTTTGTATGTTATATACAAAAATTATACACGTTTTCGGCTACCGAATATAAATAGATTCTGATGCGGGCTAAAAATGAAAAAACCCGTAAAAAAAAAATAGTATAAGATGTCTTTTTAAAAAATTTATTGCTAAATAAAGGAGGGATAGGAAGGAAAATGAGAATTGGCACTCTATTATTGAGATCAAGATTTGAACGTTACTACCAACTAGTATTATTTAAAGAATTCAAGTAATTTATAGTACTTCTTTTGTAGTTTGTCAAGTAGCATGTAAAATTTGTTTTACCAAAAATTAAATATTTAATACGCAATGTTCAAACTCACTCCATCTGGTGAGTTTGATAGAAGAAAAATGTTCTTACAAAAACTTTTGGTATTACTTCTATAGATTTTTTATTTAATATTTTACCCGCAAGTCCAATTGAAATGTTTGGAGGTTAAAGGTGTTACTGTAACATACATCCGTGTGATTAAGGACATGTATGATGAAGCTAAAACTAGGGTTAGGACAATGGGAGGAGACTCTAGATACTTCCCAGCCGTGATGGGGTTACACCAGGGATCGGTTCTTAGCCCATTTTTATTTGTCTCCGAGATGGAAGTATTGACGGGTCACATTCAAGGAGAAGTGCCATGGTGCATATTATTTGCAAATAACAAAGTATTGATTGACGAGACGTGAGACGGAGTTAACACCAGGCTGGAGGTTTGGAGACAGACCTGGAGACTAAAGGCTTCAGGTTGAGCATGATGAAAACAGAATACTTTAAGTGCAAGTCCACGGACGTTACTCAAGAGGCTAACATGAAAGTGAGGCTGGAGTCACAAGTCATCTGTAAGAGAGAAAGTTTCAAGTACCTTGGGTCAGTAATTCATGACAACAAGGAGATCGTGATGATGTCCCACATTGTATTGGAGCGGGATGAATCAATGGAGGCTAGCATCAGGTGTCTTGTATGATAAGAATGTGCTACCAAAACTTAAAGTAAGGTTTACAAAGTGATGGTTAGACCCATTATGTTGTATTTGGCAGAGTGTTAGCCAGTCAAAACTCTCATGTCCAAAAGATGAAAGTAGCAGAGATGGATGTGAGATGAATGTGTGAGCATACTAGGAGAGACATGGCCAGGAATGAAGATATTCGAGACAAGGTAGGCGTGACCGCCGTGTTGGACAAGTTGCAGAAAACGAGCCTAAGATGGTTTGGGCATGTCAAGAGGAAATGTCTCAACCCCAATAAGGAGGTGTGAGAGATTGACGATGCTCGGTCTTAGGAGAAATAGAGGTAAGCCAATGAAGTATTGAGAAAACGTGATTAGGCAGGACATGGCACATCCTTAGCTTACTGAGGATATGATCCGAGGGTGTGGATGGCAAGAATTACGGTAGAAGGTTAATTGGCAGTAGAGCGTCTTTGATTTCATTCCAGTAGTAGTTGCGTTATTCTAGTATTTCCATATTTTTAGAATTCTATTACTACATGTTGTTACTTGCGTTTTGATTTTTCTACTATCTAGTTGTTGTTACTGCTTCCCTTACTTTTACACTAATGCGTTTCTTTTTCTATACTGTTGTGATTGAGAACCTCTTTACCTGCACAAGATAGGGGTAAGACTGCGCACTCACTATCCTCCTAAGATCGTAGGATTACACTGAATTTGTTGTTGTTGTTATTTTATGTGAAATAAGTTATATGACTAAAATAATAGTTATAACAAATTACAATCCAATTAAAATTTACTTGTGTAAGATCCATTAGAAAGAAAGAATTCCACCAATATTATTTCCAGCATTGATCATATTTATTTCACTACAATTCTCGTTGGTTATTTCTTTTTGTTTTTTGGGCTTTTTTGGTCTTTTAATTTTCTTTTCCTTTTTTTCATGTAGATACGTTTATGCTTAGAATCCGCAGTCATCTTCTCTCCCCCAAAATCTCTCCTTTACCCTAAACACAAATGTTCATTTCCTACATAAAAACCTCATTTTCTTGTAACAGTCTCCAGCCCCCACAATCACTTTTTTTCTCCCTTCTATAGTCTCTTCCTCTCTGAAAAATCCTTAAAATTTTCTTTTTTTTGTAACAATCTCATGTAAATGGGATTAAATTTTGTAAAAAGATAAGATTTTGATAAAAGGGGTTTAATTATAACATAGTAAATTGAGATTTTTTTTTGCTTTGCTAGTTTGCTTTAATGGCGGCTGATAACATTTATGATTGTGTAGCCTCAAATCTTATATGTACAGAAACAAAAAGTCTTTGTTTTGATGATCTTGATTCTTTGACTATAAGTCAACAGAATATTGAAACTAACAGTAACGACTTGAGCTTTAACAATGGTTTTAGATCAGAACCATTGATTGATTTGCCAAGTTTAAGTGAAGAAAGCTTTGGTTTTATGGTGCAAAGGGAAATGGAGTTTTTGCCTAAAGATGATTATTTGGAGAGATTGAGAAATGGAGATTTGGATTTGAGTGTGAGAAAAGAGGCTCTTGATTGGATTTGGAAGGTGTTTTTACTAGTCTTAAACTCTTAAATCAATTGATCATACTCTATTTATTTGATTTCTGGAATTTTTTTCCCTTTTCAAGAATGTTGGCATTGGTTTGTTTATTTGATTGTGTTGATCTTTCATAATTAATTTATGAATGCTCATTAAGTTAGTAGGAACCCCACTTCAATTAACTCCCTCTTTGCATTAATTTGATCTCACTTTTGCTATTTTGGAAAATGCTGGATTTATCATTGAGTTTCAAGTTTTTGCTTCTTTAAAAAAAAAAAAAACTAAAAGTTGAGTTTTACATCTATGTTGTACTTCTCTTGGTATTAATAGATTTTCTTGGATTTTGCTTTGGAAAGTATTTTTCTGAGCCAACCTGGTTAAGGTCTACGTACACACTACCCTCCTCATACCCCACTCGTGGGATTACACTGGGTTGTTGTTGTTATTGTTGTTACTTTGGAAAGTATTTTGATTTTTTAATGACATTAATGGTGATACATTAACTTAGTTTTTTACAGCAATCAAGAATGAAATGTGATTTCTTTATGTATATTTTCACTCTATATATATTATCCTAATTTGTTTTAAATAGGAAATACACTATGAGAGTTCTGCTATAATGATTTACTGAATTGAGATTTGTGTTTTGCAGGCTCATATGGACTATGGATTTGGAGAGCTAAGTTTTTGTTTGTCGATAAATTACTTGGATCGGTTTCTATCTCTGTATGAATTGCCAGTAAGTTCACTATGAATATCACTTTGATCATACTGTTTGAAGTTTAAATGCTAATTGATTGTTTGCATTATGCTAATTTGCTATATAGAGAAGTAAAACTTGGACAGTTCAATTGTTAGCTGTGGCCTGTCTATCACTTGCAGCCAAAATGGAAGAAATTAATGTTCCTTTGACTGTTGATTTACAGGTGAATGCAAATATTCATTCAATCTTTACATATTTATCATGTTAATATTGTATTTCTTTTTCCGAGGGTCTATCGGAAACAGCCTCTCTACCTTTACAAGGTAGGGGTACGGCCTGCGTACACACTGCCCTCCCCAGACCCCATGGGACCGCATAGGGTTTGTTGTTGTAGTTGTAATAGTTTATTTCTTGAACTAGATTATTGTAGTAAACTTTTGAGTATGTGGAACAGGTAGGGGATCCCAAATTTGTATTTGAAGGCAAAACTATACAAAGAATGGAACTTTTGGTACTAAGCACATTGAAGTGGAGAATGCAAGCTTATACACCTTGCACATTCATAGATTATTTTGTGAGAAAGATGAATGGTGATCAAATCCCATCTCGGCCGTTGATTTCTAGATCAATACAACTGATATTAAGCATAATAAAAGGTCTTAACCTCACTCTAAGTCTTTGGATATAGTGAATTGATTTCTATTATTTCATATGGTCCTAAATCTTCAAGTGTTTGATGGGTGGGAAATTGAATGCAGGTATTGATTTCTTGGAATTCAGGTCTTCTGAAATTGCAGCAGCAGTGGCAATATCTGTTTCAGGAGAAATACAAGCAATAGACATTGATACAATGCCTTGCTTCTTCATACACTTAGACAAGGTAAATTTTGTGCGAATCCAGGCTTTGGTGTAGCGGTAAGAATGTAACGCATGATGCGTAGGTTAGACGCACGTCACGAGTTCGGTAAGAATGTAACGCATGATGCGTAGGTTAGACGCACGTGTCGAGTTCGAAAGCTGATGCACGTCACGAGTTCGAACGCCGACGCACGTCACGAGTTCGAATGTTGATGCATGTCACGAGTTCGAACGCTGACGCACGTCATGAGTTCGAACGCTGCCGACGCACGTTACGAGTTCGAACGCCGACGCATGTCACGAGTTCGAACGCTGCCGACGCATGTCACGAGTTCGAACGCTGCCGACGCACGTTACGAGTTCGAACGCCGACGCACGTCACGAGTTCGAACGCCGACGCACGTCACGAGTTCGAATGCCGACGCACGTCACGAGTTCGAACGCGGACGCACGTCACGAGTTCGACACGGACGACAAGTCTAGTATTTTTAAGTAGAAACGAGTAAAGGGGCGAGTCCATTACTCACTAATCTCGGAAAATTTTCAATTATAAAACGAGTAGATTTTAAGGGCAGGGCAAGCATTTCTTTTGCTCTAGATTGTTGAGGCAATAATGTACAAATACTTGGTTTATTTATTTCACTTATGTGAGGTTCCCTTTTTTTAAAAAATTTCTGAAATTTTGCAGGGTAGAGTGCAGAAGTGTGTTGAACTGATTCAAGATTTGCCAACTGCTACTATTATTACTACTACTACTGCCTCATTAGTACCTCAAAGTCCTATTGGAGTGTTGGAAGCAGAAGCATGCTTGAGCTACAAAAGTGGTGATGAGAGAACAGTTGGATCATGTACAACTTCTTCACATACTAGTCCAAATACTAAAAGGAGAAAACTTGACACATCATCTTTAGAGGAAGGGACTACAGAAAAGTTGTGAATCTCAATTTTCCCTTTTTTTTTTAAAAAAAAAAATCCCCACCATCTCCAAGTCCAATCAAATTTTGGCTAAATGGAAGATTTGGTGTGGCCTTGAAAAAGTCACAAAAGAGGAGAGTAGAAAATATACAAAAAAGAAGGGTGAGGTGGGGTGGGGTGGATGGGGGGAGGGGTTCATTGCTTTTAGCATGAAAAGAATTGTCACTAGTTAATAAAAACTCTCCTGAGTTGTCAATAACCATATTAAGAGGAGGTTGAGGGGTAAAATGGAATTTTGGAAAGGGCCATCAATTTTGGTAGGGATATACTTTTTTCTTGTTCATTTTTGGCTTATTATTGTTATTTCATTGGAAAAATAAAGAATGATAAAAGGGGAAGAAAAAAGAGAAAACTAAAAGGCAGTGGAGGCTAAGTAGATGGTATTGCTTTATTAGTTCTATTAACAGTGAAATGAAATGCATTTACATTGTGTCCCCAATTTTCTTTGGAATAAGCAGTAGAAGAGATGTTATAAAGAAGGCAAATTCTAATACTATTTGAGAAATGCGTTTTGCTCTTGAATTTGTCTATAATGGTGTAATGTGTTGTGCAAAAGGTTTTCCTCATTTCCTTTCTTTTACCTGTTAGTACTTATTTTTTTGCACTTTGACTACAACGACATATTTGCTCTCAAAAATAATATTCGGCAAACTATATACTTTTTGTTTATAAATTACCCAAGATTTTACCCGTCTTTTTGATGTAATTAACCAGATATTTTAGATATACCCTTTGTCTATTAACCTATCAGTCTAGAGGCTTGTCAATTCTTGACGTGCTCTCGATGATCTGCCCTTTATTATTTGGTGAAAGAAAATATTTATCAAGTGTTATTGACATGGACATAGTTTATTTACGAAACAAATTAAGATTTTGCGAAAATTCTTAAGGTGTAATTGACCACTGAAGTAAATTCTCAACCTAATCATAATGTGTAATCAAGAAAAGTTTTTTTTAATTAATAGAAGTTACATAGTAGTACTCCTGCAGTTCTCATTAGGTCTCACGTTTCGCTTCGTGAGAGACAAATTTTAGAAATTTTAATCAACAATTTAACATGTATTTTTTATCATATTAACATGAGAAAAATTACAAATTATAAGTATCTTTTTTATATAATTATTGAATATTTAAATTTAGATTTTAAAATATTAAGATAATTTAATTCAATTTAATTGTAAAGACTAATCAAATTTCGAGAAGGAAAATGTGACAAGTAAATAGAAAAGGAGGGAAACAAAATGTAAGAGAGTGAATGTGAGTGTGACTGGTCAAAATCTTGGATTGCTCATTTTAGACTCTGACGAGTTTAATAAAGAAGGCATTTGTGAAGCATAAAAGAAACCTTGGGAAGGCAATGAAAAATGGTGTCATGGGCAGTGTGGCATTACGTGCTTGAATTGTTCCTTTCTGTGGATGATTGTCTCATATGGACTTATCACACGTGTTGCTTAATGTTAGTATTTTACGGGTAATATTTTTTATATTAATCCCGTTTAGGTTCTATGGGATACAGTCTCTCTATCTCACACAAGATAGGGGTAATGCCTGCATACTGTTTACCTGTAAAAGGGTACAGTTGAATTTATACGTAATTTATAGACAAGTGAATTGATTTGACCCTAAAATAATAGATGAATAAGAATATAATGTAATACTTAGTCTTGATATGAAGACAAAATAGTAGAAATAATAGTTTCGGGAGCAGGGCTTCCGGGCATAACAGTAATGAAATCAAGAAGCAAGAAGAATTATATTAAGTTTTGAATAGAGTGTAGAGTATGTTTTTCAGAAAGTTCGTCGTCTTTACAATGATCATAGAGTTCACTATTTATAGCTACGTCTAGAGAACAAGGTCCTAGGATCAAGCCCTTCTTTAATGTCAATTATGAGGGCCATTGAAGAATGTGTAACGGCAGGCATGCGTGCCATACTCTTTTGTAACGGCCAGGGTACTAAATGCTGTAGAATATTCTTCATTAAATGCTACCGGGTGGCAGACATTTATTTCATCTTTATGAGTATCATTTCTCCGGTAACAGACGAAATGGTTGCTTTCGGTTTCAACCATCCTCCACGTGTCACTTTCTCATGCGATCATTTAATATAACATATTTTATCCCATACAGATAGTCCCCTTACTTTCTGGTGGCATAACTTTGTGTCACTGGAAAGTTGGTAGAAACATTCTTTTGGCAGAAAATTTACTAATCCCCTCTGAAAAGGTTTTGACGGTTGATTAGACGCACGTCTCTTCGCATTTAATGCCCTGAACACGCGTCATCCCACGATTTAGCATAATTTTTACCGGATATCGAGGTAATTATAGCCACGAATTTAGTCGCCTATACATTCACTTATATGCATCAACTTCTTTCATTTACCATTCATAACACTCTAAAGACTATATATATTTATCCTATGTATGGAACTACTCTCAAGAATAATTAACAATCAGTTGATATCATACTTTGGGACCCTGTTAAAGTAAGTTATAAAGGTCCAAGATTCTCCCATTTCTTCTTTGCAAATGATCTAACTCTTATAGGGAAGGCTAACTACAAAATGAGCCACTATATTAAGAATTGCTTAAACCTCTCTACGGCAGAATCTGCCATGTCCATAAATTATGTAAAATCCATATTAATTTTCTCTAAAAAGTGCCCAACAAGCATCGCTTCTTACTTTTCCAATTTATTTGACATGAAATTAAGCTTCGAACTTGGGAAGTACCTAGAATTCCCAATATTAAATCATAAACCAAAGCCCAAAGACTTCCAGTTTGTCATCGATCAAATGCAAAGAGACTATCCCATTGGAAATTTAATTTTCTTAATATAGTGGGTAAAACCACTTTAGACGTATCTACCTTGAGTTCAATACCTACCCACCTACTGTAATATACTATGCTTCCTAATAAAATCCTAAATCAAATTAATAAGATTCAAAGGGACTTTATATGGGGTACTACTAATTCCAGAAAAAAATTACATTTGGTTAATTAGAAGACTGTGACCAATGATAAAATAGAAGGTGGCTTAGGTATTCGTTCAGCCTACAAAAAAAACTTAGTGGTGCTCACAAATTAGGCTTGGTGACTTCTAAATTGTCCTTCAAACCCCTAGGCACAACTGATTACCTGGAAATACACCCAAAAAATCTATTATTAACACCTCATTTATTTGGTCTGCTCTTATTAAAGATTGGAAGGTTTGCAACCAAGGCATTATGTGGCACCCTTGCAAGAACTCAAAAATTAATATTTGGAACTCGAGATGGATCCGTAACAATTCTAACTTTAGAAGTAGTATTGAAGGACCATTGCATCTAAGTGATTACAATCTCTCTTTACAAGATCTAGTGAATGGTGATGGGTTGGATACCTCCAAAATTTATTTTGTTCTGCCAACTGTCACACCTCCTTTTTTCTTACTACACCCCCGAAGGTGCAAAGGAGTTTTTCCAATTAAAGGACAATCGAAACGGGATTCGTTATATTTAAGATTCAGAGTCGCCACTTGGGAGATTTATGGTGTCCCAAGTCACCGGTTTGAATCCCGAATCGAGGAAAAGGTTTGACTCTGTTTAACAGTCGCGAACCAGAAATCCGGGTAAGGAATTCTGTTAACCCGGGAGAAGGGGTTAGGCACTCCCGAGTTCCGTGGTTCTAGCACGGTCGCTCAACTGCTATATTTGGCTAAAGTCTGATTTTAAAACATGTTATCCTATCGTGCAATTTTAGAATTATTTAACCGCTTTTAATTAGTTTTTATGAAAGTGAACGTCGTTTAAGAGCGTATTTTTGGATCACGTCACATGAAATGCACCCGGATCCTTGACACCTCTTATTCAACGTTTTGGGATTTGGATTTGGGTTGCATGAAATGCACACCCATAGTTAAGAAGGTAAAATTATTAAAAAGCGTGCCTAAAGTGTCTAGCGTCTTGTTAACTTTGCGGGAAGCCATGAAATTTCGCTAAATGGCATGTCCCGAATTTTTAAAATATTTTTAAGAAAGCAACTAATGAGGGCCCCGCAATTTATGTGTTTTGTTTGGCGAGGCTCATCTCATTTTTATTTAAAGGCCAACCTAGAGCAAACTAGGATTTTCTATCGGATTTATCTCTAAAGGGCTTAGAATTAATTAGCATTGTCAACTGACTATTATCAGAAAGCATTCAAGGAATTCGGGTCTCAAACTCAGGTCCACATTTGAACAAGAGGAGAACCTCTTAATTCAAATATGCTACCTAGCTTGGAAGGCCCAAAACCTGTGTTATAAAATTAAGCCCGCAAACTTAAAACGAATTCAAGCCTTCAGCATTGAGTTTCGAATGTGATTCAACAGAGGGAAAGCGAAATCAATTTGTCCTATGGACTGTTACTAGCCTTGGGCCTCGACGCAAGCCCAATTAAAAGATAAGTAGGACTGGAACTGGGCCATGCATGAGTGATGTTGAGGCCCAAGCAATAGATATAGACTATCAGCCCTGGGCCTATAAGCAAGCCTAAGCTTCAAACATTGGATTTATTGATTTGGATAAAAGTGAATTCAAGTTTGATAATACCAATTTAATTCTGAACTACTGAACTCCTATGAATATTTGATGTACTCAGCGATTAAATTAACATGATTAGGATTCATTTACTAGGCCATCTCGACTCCAACATGAGATACTAGAATTGGATGAAAATGTAAAATTATTTTGAACCTATTTTCTAGAATTATTACTTCTTTCGAGTTAGAACTTCAAATTGACAGAATAGCTAAACATTATCCATATCATAACTAATAGTATACTTATAAATCTGAAATATAATTTCTACAGTCCAAATAGCATCTTAATCTAAATGCAGACCTTAAATTGACATAATAACCAAACTAAAGTTATTAAGCTACAGCTAGTATCATATTTTACCACTCATACAAGTCTGAAAATGATTCACAACATTCGTAATAACTATGACAAGCTATTTCACGCGAGTATTGTAATGCTAGCAGCCATAATACTGATAAGCTAACTTCAGTCATGAACCTCCAATTCTAAACAGTCCTTAGTCAATTACATACTAAGATATGATATAGTGCTGAAATTAATTACAATTCAATAAGGAATTCAACATAAGAAGAACAAGCATCACTTCATTCCATTCCAAAATCTGAGAGATATAGGATGTGTACCTG